AAGCTGGGGAGGAGGAGAGAGTTTTCAGAGCAGGGGTTCTCTGTAGCTGGAGCGTTAGGATGTCTTGCTACCTAATTGCTTTAGAATATGTGGGCTTGAATGAGTCCTTTTTAATGAATAATAGGCAAATGCATAAATCTCAAACCCCAAGCACCCAGACGGTGAAACACGCACTAATGAAGACCTGACTTGGCTGGCAGGTGTGGAGTTGATTTGTAAAACGCCGTGAATATATCAGTTTTGAAGTGATATTTGTGAAGAGAAGCAAATCTTCTGCGTGCTGCCCTTGTCTTCGCTCCCTGCTGCCTGACACCTGCTCCTGCTCCGTGCCATCCCTGCTGCAGCCCCTGGCAGTGCCTGCTGCCCCTGCCTTCCAGGGACCAGCTACCCTCTGTCTGCACTCTCACTGCAGTGGAAGAGGGGAAAACAGTGCTCCCCCTTGCCCAGAGCCTCTCCAAGCCCAAATCCTAACCCTGCTGGTGGTGCCATGCGTGGGTTGGAGCTCCCTGGCTTTGTGTGTGGAGATTATCTGGAGATTCACCTGGTGCTGATCCAATGAACCAACGCAGCCTCACAAAGCTGGAGGGAAGGGTGCAGAGTTCTCTTTGTAATAAATCACATGGCGTGAAAAAGGATTTCTTTACCTCCTTTCCTCCATTATTCTCCGTATCTCACCTTGTGGAAATGGGTCTGTAAGGAGGAGATTTAGACTCACATGGCAGGAAAAATGAGCAGGGCAGGGAAAACTGAAGGTAAAAGAAGGCAGAGTTCCTGGAGGTTTCAATAACTTGGAGATTCAAGGAAGAAAGTCTTTCTTCTTCCTGAAAGAATAGGAAGAAGCCCTGAAAAATAAACCCAGCATAGGCCTTGATACTAAATCCTTCCTTAGGATGTTGTTACTAAAGCAGCTGCATAAGAAATCCTTAAAAGCAGTGATGAGCTCAGTCCCAGAGGCAAAGGGTTTCTGTCCAGAGGACTGCCCAGCAAGCTGGGTGCTGCTCTGAACATCTTTGGTTTTACTGAGTTGAGCTGGTAACCTCTTCAGATCTGGCTGCCTCCCAAGTAGGGAGGGATGAATACTGCAAAATGTTTCAGTTTCCAGTGCAATTTTGAAACTCATTTGCTTTGACTGAATTTGCACTGTGTTTATGTAAATTTATAAACACTGTAATAAATTTATCCACTTACAGAAAACAGAAATTTTAGAAAAAGGCTGGAAAACATTGGTGAAACACAAATTCTAATTCAACAAGAATATTCAGAGAACCTGATTTAAATGAGCATTCAGTCACGAAGCAGAAACACAGCATGCGGTCTGTATATCTAGCAAACTATAGCAAGCATAATCCAAAATTCAATGATTATCAGTTTAAATGCTTTAAATTACATATGTGTCATTTTTTGTGGCTCACAGTGACTATGTAACCAAAACATAGGTTTTTACAGGAGGAATGAAAACCAAAATCAGGTAATAGCTGCAAGTTGCTACTTTGCTTGCAGCTATCTATTCTGACTATGTTTTTTAACTCTCCCTAACCTGGGAGGGTCTGTGGCAGCACATCATTCTCATCAGGCTCTGTGGCATTGTGACCTGCCACCTTCATAAGAGCATTCATGGGCGTGGTCATTAATGCTCTTGGAATGGGATATCCTCCAGTGCCTTTGTTCCAACCTTCACTAATTCTGAAGCTGTTTTTGTCTTCCCTTGTACTTCTTGAAGTCTGTAATGTTTCCTGATTTTTTTTCTTCTGTGTTCCACTTCTAAGATCATCCTTAAACAGTTCTTTGATATAATTTAGGGGTTTTTTTCCCCGTGTTAATTTTGTACTGAACACATTAGTTTATTTACAGCACAAAATAAATCTAATCTGTATAGGGCAGATTTGGAGGCCCTTTCTAAATTAGGGGAACACTTACAGCCATGTGAGGAACTGCATTGAAGCAAATGACAACACTTGCATTCTGAGTAAAAGAGCTGGTCTCAAATATTGAGAGATTATGTATTATTTTAGAACACACTTGTTTCCCACTATGGAGCTGCTGTTTCCAGAGCATATCTGTATTTCTGCTTTGCCTACCCAGTGTTTGAAGCAGCAAGGAAACAGTTAAGCAGTGGAACCAGCAGCAAAGTGTTCCAGAAATTAGCTGGTTTAAGACTGGGAGAATGAATTAAAAAGCAGTGCAAGATGCAATTTTAAAGTTATCCTGTTCAAGCTCTTGCATTGGAGGCATTAGCCATGAGGGAGATCACATCAGCTGGGAGCAAGATAATAAAACGAATGCAGGATCTGTAATGGGCACGTGGGAGACTCCTGCCGTATGTTTTGGTCATGTCCTGATATACGTGAGCTTTGGGAGACAGTTCTACATGCAATCGAGTCAATAATCAAAGCTGAAGTACCAAGGAACACAACTTGATGTTTCCTTAGAGAGGCCACAAGTTTGCAGCAGATGAATAAAGAGAGAATGTGGTAGATACAAATTTGTCTTTAGGCAAAAAGGAAAGAAAAAAGACTTGAAAACTGGAAGTGGGAGAAAATATTACACTGTTTCCAGACTGGAAAGAAATAGTAATGCCTACATCAGAAAGTTAATTAATTGTTGTTACATTGATAAATATGTGATATACCACATCAAAGACTAGCTAAATGATATTTGGAAATTAATTTGGATTCCTATTAAACAGAGCTCAGAGGAGCTTCCCAAATGAATAACTTGTTTGCTAAGCATTGCTTCCTTCTGTTTATAAAGTCTTTTCAAGTAAAGACAACTATTTTCAACTGTTCTTGTTGTTTTAAATGAACTATGAGATTCATCTCTTACCAGACATTCCTGACACATCCAAATACTGCAAATTGCAATGCTTCACTTAGGATCTTATAAAAATTAGGTATTGCTTGCCTCTTTTCTCTATGGGGATGACTTTGATAAAGTTATCTAAAAAGTCCCAACCCCCAAATTTAATATTGAAAGTATGCTCATTTTCTCTAGTGTCAAATATTATTAAAAGAAAATGTAAATGTGACACATTAACTATATAAATATAGGTTCAGATTCTGAGCTCTTAAGAAAGTTTTTTTTACAGTAAGAATGCTGTTTTCTTGGGAACTGTGCCAAAATACAGTAAAACTCGAGGCAGTTTCTGCTTTTATTAAATGAAAAACTCATTCATCTCATTCTGCTCTTCTGCCAGTTTTATCCCGGTGTAATTCCACCTACATCTCTGGAAGTACTTCTGGTTTTTATTAATGTCTATGAGTTCAAAAGAAGATAGGATTTAGTAGGGCCGAGTGCAGAGAGTTTACATGCAGGAAAAAAGAAGGGAGAGAGAGGGAAATCTGACACAATATGCTGTAGAGTGGGATGGCAGCAACTTTCTCAGTTGTCTGTGGAATTGTAGTTGTTTAAAATGTCCGGGAAAAAAAAATCCATCTGGTTTCTGTACAAGCAGAGAAGTGGCTAGCACAGCAAGGAGGTGCCTTCTGCACCCAGCAAGGCACCCACGGCAGCAGGGATGGAGCTGCAGAGCTGTGTTGGTGTTTGAGCTCCCAGGGAGCTGATGGGTGCATTGTGTCAGCCCAGGGAGCAAAGCAGCTTCAGCTTGCTTGGATACCCATAGGAATTTTTACAAAAGAATGTCACATTAGCTTTGTATCCTTTGGTTCATAGGAAAATATTTATTTATCAGGTTTGGAAATTAATTTCATCCTCTGGTTTCATCCCCTCACTTTTTAAAGTATTTTACCTCTGTTAGTTTTATTTTCCTTTCTCTTTGCCAATTAAACCTATGTTTTGGGTCTTCAGATTCTTAGACTTCTTTTTTTTTTTGTCAGAGGATAGCACTGCTGGTCTTGTTTGCATAGGTGTGTTTAAAAGATTAAAGCTGAACAGACATTCTTGTAATAGACATGGGATCAATGAAAGCTCTTCTTTTCTCAAGAAGCTTTAAGGCTTAGCAGCGAGGTTGATTTTTTTTGTTTGTTTTAACTATGGAAGAAGTTGCATCTCTGCCTGGGCTTCTATTATTTGTAGGGTCTTCTACAGAATTCCTGAGAAAGAATTTACCCAACTCATCCCAAGCTTAGCTTGAGAAGACACAGTTCTCTTCCTGCATGTATCAGTAGCCAAAGGTATTCTAGGTGATCTCTGCAGCAGACAACGTACCTGATTTCCCTCTTCTCCTACTTGTGCCACTCCCAGCTTTCTAATTTCTTTTTCAAATTTCAAATTTTCAATTTTTGTGCTTACTCTGTCAACAGCCTCCTGAGTTTCAGTGAGGCCTCACAAAGAATTTGGATGCTACTCTGTGAGGCTGTGAGCAGCAGAATCCAAGTCAGGAGAGTGTCCTGGGAGGGATCTGAGTCAGGGCAGGAAGGAGAAGCCAAGGTGGCGTCCATGCTCCAACGCCTACAGGATTTGATGGCCAATAAGCATTTTAACTTGTTGATTTGGTTGGCTAACTTTTGTGTAGGCAATTGCAGGAGGGGAAGAGACAGAGGCCCTGGGTTAGTGGAACAATGACATTCATGCTTTAAATCCCTTAAGCACAAACCTAATGGCCATTGATTACAATGCTCTGAAGAGCCCTGCTGAGTCAGAGCCTGACTGGGGACAAGCTGAAGGTCCACTTTGGTGGCGCAGTGTGTGAATCACCCTCACTGCTGCAGACCCTCAGCCAGAGCTCCAAAGAGAAGGGAACCTCCAAGGTCAGGCAAGGCTGTTCCAGGGCCTGGGAAAAGGCAAAGGATACAGTGAGCACAGGCTGTGGAGGGGAAGAAGGCTGAATGGCCAGAGCTGTTCCAGTTGATATTCTGCTGGCCACGTTATTTCTGAACAGTGCCATTGCTGCAGGCTTTCCCCAGGGGAGCGTTTGCTTTATTTCCCCCATGAGAACAATGTTTAACTACTTCAGCCACAGAATCTAACCCTAATTCTGCAGCTGACCCAAGGAGAGGCTGCAGCCCTGCTAAGTCCTTTGTGTCTGTTCTGTGTGTGTGCAGGTGCTCCCTGATGGGGTTTGATCTGAACCGGCACTGGGCAAATCCCTCTCCGTGGGCTCATCCCACCCTGCACGGAGTGAAGGAGCTCATCATTGACATGTACAACAACCCGGTGAGTGGGGACAGAGCTGCTGAGCCCCTCTGCTGCTGAGGGGCCCCCCCACGGCAGGAGATCAGGGAACACTTGTGCTTTTGCCACAGGAAGCACCAGAAGTGGAGAAGGCACATGGAATGAAGTTCAGCTCAGATTAACGATGAAATAATTCTGAAAGCAGGGCCTAGATTCAGCTGAGCTGCTCTCATGCTCTGAGCTGGATTCAAAACAGCAGGCCCCCCAAACTGAATTAGGGAATGGCAGCAATGCTTAATCTGGGGCTCTGGCAGTGGTGGCTGGGTGGTGTGCAGGGTAGGAGGGGGAGAATATTTGCAAATATTATATAAACCCACACACACACACTCATGCTCACTCAGAGAAGCAGAGGTGTTCTTGAAGGTGAAATCTTAGCTAATCAGAGGAGATGGATTGAGGAGAATATGGAGAAGAGGAGTGGGAGGGAGGCAGACAGCTATTGAATGTTTGACATCAAAGCGCAGAAGGATTATTGAACGTGGCACCTAAGAAAAACTGCTGGAAAAAAAAAATGGAGATGGGTAGGAAAAAATCACTACCAAAAAATAAGAGGAGATTTTATGGATTATTATTTTTTTCATTACAAGATTCCTGGTATTTGTCTTTTCTTTTTGCTTCTCACAACGGAGAGGGAATTTGAATCTTTAAGTCCCTGAAGTTTTGCTAATTTTTCCTTTTGTTTTTTCTTTCTTTCCTTTTTGTTTCTGTGAAAAAGGACCTTGCCTGCCTTGCTAATAAAGAAAGAGGATTCTTACCCCTGGCTACATCATGTATAGAATAAGACCTCCTTTAATTTAACTCCTGGTTTTCCCAATACATCTTAATTAGACTTTTTATCTTCCAGTAATACCTGTACAGAGGAGTTTTTAGGTACAGGGAAGATAGGTTAATAGATACGATCGTTACGTATGGACTGGAATCCAATTGCATGAAAAATATTTTCTTAGACCACTAATTGTTTGGCACGGAATTTGTCTTTCTATTCAGTTTCTGCAGCACCTTGCACTATGCATTGTCTCTGACCAAGGCTCCTAAACTCTGTTAAAGTGATGATGATAATGATGGAAAAGCAAAGAAAGGAGCTTTGGAGCCAGCCTAGTCTTTCCTCTGTTTTTCTACCCCAAAAAGCAAGACATTTTCCTTCTAGACGATGGAGTGGAGCATGCAGATTTCTTTAAGAAGTGGGTTTTTTTCCAAGAATGAAGAGGTCTTTAAACCTTACAAGGAAGTTGAGTGTAGGGAAGTGCTTGTAGCCAGTAAGGCAACAAATCCTGCCACTATTAAAAGTCACTGTCAGTAAAGTAAAGCTATTCTTGGAGGTAGGGGGAAGTTATTTTCAGCTTCATCCCATTCTAAGGAATCTTTGAAAATTCTGGTACCTTCCAGCTGTCCTGTGTGTGAAGAATGAATTAAGTTGCTTTGGTGGCTAAAATGAAAAATCAAAAGAAGTGTTTGGTGAGAGCTGATCTGAAATGGAAATTTTTTTTTCCTCCTTCTTTCTGTCTCCCACTTTCCCCAGTGATCAACCTGAGATGAACCAGTTCATTTCTTTCTGAGAGAAAGAAAAAGGAGCTGTTTAAACATTTCATTTTCAATTTTATTTAATTTTTTAAAAGTACTTTTTTAGTTTTTTTGTTTGTTTGTTTGTTTGTTTTTGTTTTTTTTTTTTTTTTTTTATTAAAGTACCAGCAAAGTTCAGGTTGCTGTTCTGAATTCCATTTCTCAGTGAATTAGCTACCCACCAAAAAAACCTTCCTGTCTGGCCTTGTCAACACCAGCCTTTCTGGCAGTTTCAGGGATGCTCAGCAATGCAAAGCAGTATATGGGATTACTGTTATTTTCAGGAAATACCAGATTCTTAGTCCCTCTGATCCCAGTAATATTGGTATGAAAAGACCATATCCAAAGTGCTGGGACAAAAGGGGAGACAAGGCAGCTGCCATGGCACTGTCCATGCACCGTCCTGCTTTAGCAGTGACTGCTTTTATTAAGTTATGACAGAGTTCCAGAATAAAACCTGCTTTGAATCCCTTTGGGCAGCTGAAAAATTTTTAGGTGCTTTTCAGGGGTGGAGTGTTACTTTCAGGTAATACATGATAGATGGCTGTCTGCATGCACAGGTGACCTGCTGCAGGAGAGCTGGTGTCAAACTGTGTCACACCAGGCATTTTGCATTTGAACACGTCTGTCCTGCCACCCTCTCCTCATCCAAAGTCTTCCCACACTGGGGAAAATGAAATGAAATGCAAAACCCAATTCCCTGAGAAATTATGTAAGAAAAACAATAACCTTCATCCCTCCCATTGCAGACAAGATCTGCTGTGAAGGGCTGCCCACAGAAGACTGGATTGTTTAAAGCAAGGGGAAGTTTGGCTTCATGTTGCCATTGCAGAACAGCTCAGTGCAGGACTTTTAGATGTATTCATTCCCTTAAATCACTTAAGGAAAATTAGCTGCCATAAGACCATAAAACCATGTTTTAAATATTGCTGCATAGGAGGATTTTTCTCCTGCTCTGCAGTATGGGAGATAAGCTCTTTCCTTTGAAAAAAAGTTCATTCTGGAGTAGGGAGGATGAGTGACACAGAAATAAGTGAAGTGGGTATGAGGCACACGCACAATGCCACAGCTACAGTGATTCCAGCACTGAGTGTTCCAAGGCTGAGTGTTTGCTGTAGTTACTGTATAAAAATAATCCAAAGTACTTGAGGTTCACTGTTCTTCTGGGTTTTACGAAGTGTGCTTATTTTATTTTATTTTATTTTTAAAGTGTTTCAGATTCTGTAAGGACCATATTGCCCTTAGGAAGGAATGGATGGGTTGAGAAATGAGAGAACAATAGGAAGCTTTTGATCTCCTTGCCACTGATTTTGACACAGTAACTCTGATGATCAGTGTCATTATGTTGACCTACATGGAGTGAGGGGATATTCTCAGCTGTTTCTAGTGGTATCAGTCTTGCAGATGAGACTGAAGTGATAGTCTCCTCTAGATCATGTGCTGCTGGCTGGGGATATTTCTGTTCCCAAGCAACTTTGCCTGCCCATACACGAGCGAGTAATGTCTTCCCACCACTCCACCAGCTGATACCTGTTGATGGTTTCCCTGTCTGTGCTGGAGCAGGTAGCAGAATTATCTCAGAACATGATTGTACTGTTTAAACCAACTCAGCTGGCTCTTGTTTGCAGTTTGTTAAAGCATGTTCATGTCAGCCATTCCAGCACCCTTTAAAAACAGGTTTAGTGAGTGCACTCAGGTCTTGTGCTCAGTGTCAGCTCAGCCCCCTTGATATGAGCACTGTGATATGGCCTTTACTCACAGGTGCTGGTGTTATTCTCCCATCTAGATCTCTCCCTCACTGAGTTCTCCAAAAGAAAACTCTTACTTAATAAGCAGCCACTCAGTGTTTTACCTTCAGTGTTCATTGTGCAGCCTTGTCCTGTGTTTACTGTGCCCTGTGCAGATCCTGCTCTGAAGACAGAACTGGTAATCTCCTCGTAGGCTCTTTTGTTCTGCTCATCGCTATACCCTGGGAGCATTGCAGAAGCGTGGATTATTTCTGGCAGGGGACCCCCGTGAGAGACAAATGTTTCATCCTTGTGTGGATAGGAAACAGTTATGATCACACCTGCTCATTTGTGATAGATGGTTTAGGATGCCTGGAATCAGATTTGTTTAAAGTCATTCAGCAAAGACTGACACCTTCACTGTCTTATATTTACCCCTTGCTTCTGCAAGGAAGATTGGGATAGACTATTTCTGCCATTTGGTTCTCCTAGCATCTGGGAGACAAGGAATAGGCTGTGACTGACCATTTGGGATGAATCTGTTTCAAGTAATTTGCTCCTCCCAAGTGAAAATGCAGACATGGGATTCAGGGCTCCCAGGCACTCTCACTGCAACACTGGACTTTGTGTTCTTTCTTCTGTGTTTCTTCTGTTCTGCCTGTTTTCCACCTCCTCTTGAAATGAAGCTGGAGTCCTACAAGTAGATGATTCCTTTGCTAGATGCTGTTCACCTTGTGCCCTGAGTGAGCCAGAGACCCATCCAAATAAAAAAAAACCAAAAAAAAACACCACTTACCATTTAAGGGATATGCTCCTCAATTAGCATCTCCTTTGTTGTGCACATATATACTAAAATCTAAATTATTTCTGCAAAACTGACTTTTCTGTATACATTCCTGACTTTGGAGTGCTTGATGTTGCAGCCCTTGCATACTTTTAATACTATTCTGCATGAAAGTTTTCAATGCAAAATGAAAGCCCCCAGCATGCTAAACTCTGAGTCATCTGCTGGGCTGGAACCTTTAGATCCACCACACAGACATCTGCCACAAGGGCTGATGAATTAGCTGGAAGAGGATGGCAATCTGCTATTGCTGTGGACAGGAAAGAGGGAGGGAAGGAGCCTGTGGGCTTTGGGGGTATCTGCTGACAACAGCATTAGTAATAAGACAGGATGAGTAAAGACAATACTGTAGGCATGGGGAGGGTTGCTATTTAAGGGTGAATGACACCTTTTATGTTTTTGAGGATTTTTTAAAGATACTGTGTGCAGGTTCAGATTTGAACAAAATCATTATTTTCCAATCTTCCTGTCTCTGAGGAGGCCTGGATGTTGATCCAGATAGGTTTGAGTGGGCAAGCAGTACAGGGGAATTAGCCTGCTAAGTCAATGTAGCTGGATTCTTCAGCAGATAACTGTGTTCCTCTTCAGAAAGAGAATATATTTGCTTTCTTCCAAAGTTATCGAACGTACAGTCCTCTGGGTCTGTGTTATCTCTCCCCAGGCCCTTCTTTAGAGGCTGATGGGTGTCCTCCTAGGGCTGAATATCCTCAGAATATCCTGCACCTCACTGCTGCAGGAAGGCAGCAGAGAGAGCTTGTTTTGGGGAGAAAGGCGTGATCTCTGAGTTCCAGCTTGTGGCTGATAAGCCCTGATAACAGAAAAGAAGTGAGGGTGAAGGTTGAGTGCTGTGT